TCCCCTACCCACGATGGACACATGATTAATATGTATACCGCTTATGTGGCATGCACACGTTGGTAATGTATTTTTTTGAACATATTAACATCACCAATGTGTGAATGCCACATAAACATTGAACATATTAACATGTGCTCACTGTGAGTATGAAAACATTACTGCATAACAAAGTGCTCTAAATTACAACTCCACAAAACAAGGATGTTGGATTGTTCATGGAAAGGACTAAGCCAAGCAACATATAACAATTTCACATACTTAGGCACAATCCAGTAGCAACTGGTGAAGAGCACAACAAAAGGGAGTTTTGCCACTACATCAGAAATGCCCAGCTCCACAACCACAATCACAAGCTCATTGATGATCCTATAGCTGCAATTATTGAGAGCACCTATCTAATATTTAAGGATATAACCGATGATCCCATTTATTTGAAGGATAAAACTATAATAGCCTCAACGTTGGAGATGGTTGACTCTATGAATGAGTACATGACGTCTTTGAACGTGACTGATGGTCACACATATACTTGAGCTCATGTGCTTGAATGTAAGACATTGACTGGATCTAATGCAGGATAAAAGGTGTAGATACCTCGTATAACTCTAACACCTTTCGGCGTTAGAATACTTTCAAATTTCAACGGAAGCAGTTTCCCCTAATGATTTCTTATGCCATGAAATTAACAAGAGCCAGGGTTTATCTTTATCATATGTTGACATGTTTTTTAAAAATGGTGTTACGTTTCGACCAGTTGTATGTAGTTGTTTCCCGTGTCTCTAATAGCAAGAGCTTGAAAATATTAGTTTGGGAGGAGGATGTTGTACATGCAACAAATGTTGTTTAGAAAGAGAGTTATAAAATCCAAGTGAGAGCGATTATTCTCTCCTGTGAGAGCGATTATTCTCTCATGTGAGAAATTTTATTACCTTGGTGAGGATCCATTCCTTTGTTGAAGGCTTCATTCAGCAAGAGATTAGGATTTCCATTAATCCCAATTCTCAGTTGTTTTCTTTCTTTTCGGAGACGTACCAGTCGAGAGGTGGCTAGGGCAAAATGTCGAGCTCAGAAGGGGGAAATGTAGGAAGACCTGGTTAGGGAGTTAGACAAATTCTCTCTATCCAGTAAAGAAGCAGGTGACATGGAGCTTGGCAACGACGACATAAAGGTCAATGCTGAAGATGTCAAGCAAAGCCTCTTTGGGAAAGTTATAGGGGATAGGAAAGCGGCCCTAGTGGGGGTGAAACGAACAATGACAACCATTTGGAAGATTCAACAAGCTATGGAGGTCCGTGAATTAGGTACTAATTTCTTTCAATTTGTCTTTCACTCGCGAGAAGATTTACAGAAAGTAGCTGCCGGGAACATATGGATATTTGAGAATCAATATCTGATTCTCAAAGAATGGAAGGAAGGGATGAACGTCAACCACCAATGCTTCGATGAGGTAGTGCTATGGGTCCAGGTCAAAATCTTCCTCTTAATTGGTTGTGCACAGAGGTAGAGATGAAAGTGGGTAAGGTGTTTAAAGGAGTTCGAAATGTAGTGATACACCAATCAGGACAAGTCGTTGGTAGGCATCTGCGATTACTAGCGATCATCGATTTAAAGGAAGCCTTACCAAGATGCACACACATAAGGCTAGCAGATCAGAGAGTTCGAGTAAATTTTCGATATGAAAGGTTGGTTAACATCTGCTATTACTGTGGCAAGCTTGGGCATCTGGACAGGAATTGCACGCAGAGAATCTTAGACATGGAAAATCACAATCTTAAAGAGGGACTATATGGCGAATGGCTCAAAGCGCCAGTAGCTTATTATAATTCCCCCTCTAGTCCCTCAGCAGGATCTGGTTTAAACGGCACCCTCTCAGATTCCCCAAAACTGAATTCAGGGGCCTCTGTAGCTGAAACTATTAATCAAGATAATCAACGGGGAGATAGTCCCAAATGACAGGAGTTGATGCAAATTCCAGAGGAGGAAGAGGCGGTCTGTACCACAGGGAAAAGCAAGATCATGGAAACAGAAGTGTCAAAAGAGATTGAAGCTGGTACTACAGAAATATGCATAGCTCAAACCCAGGAAAATGAACAGACTTCGCTGAGCAAAAAGGAGAAAGAAATCATGGAGATAGACACCAATGCAGAAATCAAGACCAAGCAACTAAGGACTCCATGCCACAAAAAAGAAACAGAATCAGCACATGGAAGAGAGCAGAAATAGATAGCAGAATGGAGAGGAAGATAACCAAGCAAACTTCAAATGTAGGGGAACAGAAATGCAAAAGAAGCATTGAAGAAGTTCTTCTCTCAAATCAAGAAGCTTATGAGATCAAGGATGAACATGTGGAGAAAAAACTGAAAGTAAATTTCTCAAGGGTGGAGGTGACTAGCCCAGATTGGTCACGGGGTGAACAATGAATGCTCAGGTGTGGAACTGTAGAGGTTTGGGTGGCCCCTGTACAGTTCCCCAGTTAAAGGAGTCCCTCAGGGCCCATCACCCCCATTTTGTCTTTTTATCAGAAACCAAAAAACAAAATAATTTCATTTCCACTGTTTGTAAAAAGTTAGGTTTTCATAATAGATATGCAGTAGTTGATCCAGTTGGTATTGGTGGAGGTCTGCTTTTAATGTGGAAGAAGGAAGTAACCATTATTCAGTTAAGGAAGCATTTTTTCTGCCTTGAAGTGCAGTTCAGTTGTCAACCGCATGTGGAGTCTAGTTGGGCTTGTTTTGTTTACATGAGCACATACAAGAGAACTAGAGAAGAGCAATAGAGACAACTGGATATCATGAAGTCAGATTGGGGTGATGTGTGGACAGTGCTAGGAGATTGGAATGACATCAGCAGTGTGGAAGACAAGAAGGGAGGCAGACAGAGGACAGAAAGAAGCCTTGCAGGTATTCAAGAATTCATAGCAAACATGGCTATGCAAGAAATCAAAGGCAGTGGCTATCCTTTCACCTAGGGAAATAACAGGAAAGGAGAAGGGTTTGTAGAAGAGGTGCTGGATAAGATGTATGTATCTCTAGGCTGGCTCACAAAATTCCCCAATACTCATGTGAAAAATGTCTAGAAATCAGCTTCAGATCACTGTATGATTATGGTGGAGACAAATCCAAGCAATCAGAAATTCAAGAAGAGATTCAATTTTGACAAGAGGTGTTTGGGTAATGCTGATGCTATTGAGGTTATAAATACAGCTTGGAATTCAACACAGTTGGGAACTCCTTTGTACAGAGTCAAAGAGAGAGTTAAAAAAACTAGAGAGGCTCTTCTCAACTGGAACAAATATTTCAAAGACGAGAAAGACAGGAAAATGAACAGATTGACAATGAGGATAGAGGAGATGAGAAGGGAAGCAGGAGACAGAAATTGGGCTGAAT